CAGCGGCAGAGGATGGCCCAGGGCACGGCGATCCACACGCGTTCAGTGCAATGAAGTAGCCCCAGAAGTAGATGCGGTCCGGGTGGCAGTGCCTGACTGAACCTTCCAGGGAGCTCATCGCAGACGACAAGATTGCCGTACAGAAGGGCGGGGGATGGAAGGGGCAAGGCTTGCTGCCCAAGGGAGTAAATGACATCGCTGTACAGAAGCGGCAAGGCATGGCCGAGGGAGACAGCGACCTGGAGGAGCGGAGAGAAGGGCCGCTGAGATGCCATGGCGTACCTGTGAAGGATGGGTTGGGTTGGGTTGGGGTGGGTTTGGATGGGTTTGGCCGGGTTTGGTTGGGCTTGGATGGGTTCGGGTGGGTTTGGATGGGTCATGTGACATCGCCTTACAGCTGGCCTAGGGAGATGGCCCTACAGTAGGAGAGGGAAGAAGGGAGCTCGAGATGCCATGGCGTACCTGTGAGGGCTGTTGTGGGGTGTGGGGGATTGGCGTTGGAGGGGTTGGAGAAGGGTGGGAGCACGCTGAGAAAACGAATGTCGCCACCATGTCGCTGGGACGGGAAGTGGCTTGTGGTGCAGTGAGGGGTGGAGCCGGATGTAGCTGGGCTAGGGAGGGAGTCTGTACAATGAAGGATGGTGACTTCACTCATTTACGGGTAGCTGGGTTAGGGAAAGTGCACAGTGAAGGATGGCGGAGGAATGTTTGCGACGGGGACGGGGGAAGGGCGAGAGGGAAGGGGGAAAGAGGATGGGGGAAAGGGGACAGGAGAAAGGGGAAGGTTGAAGGGGGAAGGCGGGAGGGGGGAGTGGGAAAGGCTCACGGCAGACGCCTGACAGAAACGTGCTTACAGGATGAGGAAGCAATGATGAAAGCAGGTGGGTGAGTCCTTGGATGAAAGCAGGTGGGTCCTTGGATGAAAGCAGTGACCCCTTTAGACTTTTGAGTCGACTCAAAAGTCGACTCGAAAGCAGGTGGGTCCTTGGATGAAAGCAGTGACCCCTTTAGACTTTTGAGTCGACTCAAAAGTCGACTCGAAAGCAGGTGGGTCCTTGGATGAAAGCAGTGACCCCTTTAGACTTTTGAGTCGACTCAAAAGTCGACTCGAAAGCAGGTGGGTCCTTGGATGAAAGCAGTGACCCCTTTAGACTTTTGAGTCGACTCAAAAGTCGACTCGAAAGCAGGTGGGTCCTTGGATGAAAGCAGTGACCCCTTTAGACTTTTGAGTCGACTCAAAAGTCGACTCGAAAGCAGGTGGGTCCTTGGATGAAAGCAGTGACCCCTTTAGACTTTTGAGTCGACTCAAAAGTCGACTCGAAAGCAGGTGGGTCCTTGGATGAAAGCAGTGACCCCTTTAGACTTTTGAGTCGACTCAAAAGTCGACTCGAAAGCAGGTGGGTCCTTGGATGAAAGCAGTGACCCCTTTAGACTTTTGAGTCGACTCAAAAGTCGACTCGAAAGCAGGTGGGTCCTTGGATGAAAGCAGTGACCCCTTTAGACTTTTGAGTCGACTCAAAAGTCGACTCGAAAGCAGGTGGGTCCTTGGATGAAAGCAGTGACCCCTTTAGACTTTTGAGTCAGGTGGGTCCTTGGATGAAAGCAGTGACCCCTTTAGACTTTTGAGTCGACTCAAAAGTCGACTCGAAAGCAGGTGGGTCCTTGGATGAAAGCAGTGACCCCTTTAGACTTTTGAGTCGACTCAAAAGTCGACTCGAAAGCAGGTGGGTCCTTGGATGAAAGCAGTGACCCCTTTAGACTTTTGAGTCAGGTGGGTCCTTGGATGAAAGCAGTGACCCCTTTAGACTTTTGAGTCGACTCAAAAGTCGACTCGAAAGCAGGTGGGTCCTTGGATGAAAGCAGTGACCCCTTTAGACTTTTGAGTCGACTCAAAAGTCGACTCGAAAGCAGGTGGGTCCTTGGATGAAAGCAGTGACCCCTTTAACTGGGATGGGAGCACACAGCCTTCTCGAGTGGCATAGCGTGAATCGGGCCTGCGAGTAATCTTCTGCAATTACTTCTTCTCTGCAAGGGGGAGATGAGAAGCAAGGGGGGCAGGTGACAATGTCGGGAAAGGTAAGGTAAACGAGAGAAAACACGGGCATCGCATGTGCCACAGCGCGAGCTGTAGTCCTTCCCTGCGGGGGGCGCAGGAGACAGGGTAAGGGGAGGCAAGAGAGGGATGCAACAGGGCACGGAGAAACGCAAGGGAAAGAATAAAGGCATCGCAGGCGCAAAGATACTCTTTCAGGGGAGGCGAAGGGAGGGGAGGGGGGGGGGGAGTGGGTGGCAGGGGAGCGGAGGGGAGGGTTAGGGGGGGGATGGCAGGGGAAGGGAGGGGAGGAGGGGGGGGAGGGGAGGGGAGGGGAGGGAAGGGAAGGGGAAGGGAGGGGAGGGGAGGGGAGGGGAAGGGAGGGGAAGGGAGGAGGGGGGGGAGGGGAGGGGAGGGGAAGGGAGGGGAAGGGAGGAGGGGGGGGGAGGGGAGGGGGAGGGGAGGGGAGGGGAGGGGAGGGGAGGGGAGGGGAGGGGAGGGGAGGGGAGGGGGAGGAAGGGCAGGGGAGGGGAGGGGAAGTGGGGGGGAGGGCAGGGGAGGGGAGGCGGGGGGAGGAGAAGGGAAGGGGGGGGTAGGGGAAGGGAGTGGGGGGCAGGGGAGGGGAGGGGAGGAGAGGGGAGGGGGGGGCCCACCCGTTACCATATCAAGCCTACACGTACATGCGTCCAGCGAAGGTACCCCCACAGCGTTGCTCATGCCTTCCAGCAGCCGTTAGTAGAAAAGCGTTGCTGGTGCTGCTCGTTAGGTCCTTGCACCCATTGCCGTATGCGCGTCAACCGAAGCGTCACCGTTACCCGAACAGCTCTGCTCGTGAGTCATGCCTTCCAGCAGCACGGCGGCCCATGAGCAGAAGATCCCACTCGTGGCGGGCGGCAGGATCCTGACGGGGGCGATCCACCCACGTGGTGCTGCAAGGCTGAATCTGCTTTTTTGAGAATTCTACCAAAAACAGATTCAGCCCACGTGGTGCTGGAAGGCACGATCCTGACGGCAGCGGGAGGAGGCAACACGGGAGGGACAGGTCGGGAAGGGGAGGAGGGCGGGGATTCGGGGGGAAAAGGGAGGGGGGGGGTTGGGGGTGGAGAGGAGAGGGAAGTAGGTGTTCCTTTGATGTCGCACCAGCATAAAAACGTGGACGTATAAACAGCCGACACGTGGCCGCAGGAGCCCGATACCGGGTGCGGGAGACAGCGGGTGCAGGGAAACGCTGGAAGGAGGTTGGGGAGGGGGGAGGAGGGAGCGGGGGCCGAGCAGAGAGGTTGTATGGGGATAAGAAGTAAGGACGAAGTTTTAGCCATGGGGGTGCCAGGAGTGGGCACGAGTGCGGGACGGCGGGGAGGGGAAGGCAGGATGCTAGAGGTGACCAGAGGCGAAGGCTAGAGAAAAATCTCATGCATTGTAGCAACGTGGCTTCAGGAGAATTGCCTTGGCACAATATGTCGTAATGCCGCGTTAGGGAGGGGAGGAGAGGGTGGGGGGAGAATGAGAGGGTGGGGAGGATGAGATGAGAGTGTGGAAGGGGAATGAGAGGGTGGAGAGAAGATGAGAGGGTGGAAATGGAATGAGAGGGTGGGGAGAGGATGAGAGACCCATTTCCCTGCACCTCACTCGTCCTCGTCTCGTGAAGCATGCACTCAAATGCGGCGTTCACAGCACATTCGCAGCCTTCGCCACGTTTCGCGAAGCCTGCCTTCCAAGGCTGCTCGCTCCCAGCTCGCCTCCCCGGCGGTCAGGTTTCCCTCCCATCCAAGTCGAGCGTCGCGCGTCGCGCGTCGGGGGTCGGCCGCGTCGGGGCGGATGGCGTTGCGCTGAACGGCGCGCGGAAGCTTGAGAGGCGCTGGGCGCGCGGAGGTGGACTCGAGTGATGCGGCGGAGGCGGTACTATTGGGACGAGCGGCGCGGCTCATGAAGGCCCCCCGGCGGCGAACCATGGGAAGGATTACGAAGAGGCCGCTCGACGCCGTGGCGAGAACGAGTACAGCAACTATCGAAAGCCATGACGCGACACCATGGAAGTGACGCATGGAAATCGCGTCGCGTAGGGGCATGCTGGGCTGGAAACAGTTAGTACCGCACTGCGCGGTGGAGAGGACTTCGATAAATCAACCTGCTGTCCATGACGTGTGCGTTGTGACGTTGCTCAATGGTGGCTGACCTGTAGGGTTTCAGTTGAAACGAAGCCAGGCGAAACCCATGCTGTACATATGGCACCAGGGTGAAGGACTTCACGGTCGTTGTGACCCACGGAACACGATTGGAATCTGTCAAAGCTGAAAATAAAGGCAAAATTGATGCTCGTTTGAGGCATACCTTTCTCGGCCTTTTGGCTAAGATCAAGTGTAGTATCTGTTCTTATCAGTTTAATATCTGATACGTGGACCATCGGTCCACATGATATTAAATTAATTTCTTTTGGGGGCAGGTGCCAATGGCCAGCTTGCTGGTCGGCCCTGCAAGCGTTGCCTCTGCATTGCACTAACTCAGGGGAAGGCGCACCCCTCCCCCAATGGGGGACCAAATAAAATTCAGAAATGGGATTTTGATCTACTGGTACTTTGAAAAGCACTAACATAGAGACCTTGGGTTCCACTAAACATGCTCATTTCCCCTGCCTTTAGTGTAGCCCATTGCAACAATTGTTGCATATAAGCGCTCCTAAAAGCATACAGTAGAAAAAATCCAGCCATTATAAATTCTGACTCCACAATTGTAACCCTATGTAACAGGGTGTTGATGTCAGAAACCCCTGATTTCAGGGAGTTCCCTAAGCCAGCCTTGGTCCCTGGCCTCCAGTTTCCAAAGACACAAGTCCGGAGCGCCTTCTTTGGGTGCACCCACCGTGATCTGAAAACACCAACACCAACACCAACACCAACACCAACACCAACCGGTTCGTATAGTTCTACGGGCAAGTATTGGAGTGAGCCCTCACAGTTGTTCACCAGAATCATGCCCACACGGCTCCGCTGTTGACCATCTTGGTGTAGGCCGGTACAAAGTCCCGGAAGAAGAGGTCCTGGTCGTTGGCGTACTTGTTGATCCACCTGGTGTGGTATGGGGGGAGATGGAGGCCATGGCCATGGGAACGTTGGAAAGAAGGGCGGAATGAGAAGTTCTCCTCGCAGATTTGAGACTTCTCTGAAGTCGGAAAAAGAGGTTCTGGTCGCTGGCGTACTTGTTGATCCACCTGGTGTGGCACATGGAGAGAGATGGGGGAGGGAGGTTGGCGGAAGGGGGAGGGGGACGGAGCGAGAGGATTTTGCTGTCTCTAGCAACCGCCTGTGAAAACAGGACGATCTGCGTAGCAATAATCCGTGAAAATTTGTAAATGGGGAACATTTGGCAGGGTTAGGAACTCAACTTGTGTGTTACATGACAGAATCCCATCAAGAGAATAAACCGAATTAAAACATTGTAAGAAAAAAAAAATCGATTCCACATTTTCTTTTTGAATCGGGCAACTTTGTCTAAAGAAATACCCAAAAGTTGACAGCATGGACGGTTGCAGAAAATGGGAATGGCAAGTCAGGGACGAGAAAATCTGAGGCACGCAAAAATGAGTCCTCACCTCCCTCCACCCCATGCGTTCCCTTCCACGCAGCTATGCACCCATGCACTGTATGAAGCCTATGCACCCCATTGACCCCATGCACTAAACATTATGCAAGGGATATTGGCATGTGAAGGACCTCAAAGGGGAGTCCGTCGCTTCAAATTGAAGTCCTTTTCTGCGAAGGGGAGCGGTGAGGGGTACTCACACGAGGCAGTCGTCGTCGTCCACAATGGCCTTGTTCGATGGCAACACGGGTGGGTAGCATGTGTATGCACGCAACACACACACACTAGCATGTGTATGCACGCAACACACACACACTAGCATGTGTATGCACGCAACACACACACACTAGTATGTGTATGCACGCAACACACACACACACTTCACACAAGGCGTGACGGGCACTCACACGAGGCAGTCGTCATCGTCCACAATGGCCTTGTCCGATGGCAAGCACAGGTGGGTAGCATGTGTATGCACGCAACACACACACACTAGCATGTGAATGCACGCAACACACACACACACTTCACACAAGGCGTGACGGGCACTCACACGAGGCAGTCGTCATCGTCCACAATGGCCTTGTCCGATGGCAACCCGATCATGTCCGCCATGCTGTTCCCTGCCATCACATTCATACGTGGGTAGGTAGCATGGCATGCATCGACAAGTCATGCCCGGTCCCCTTGTGATGGCAACCTGCTCATGTCCGCAATGCTGTTCCCTGCCATCACATTCATACGTGGGTAGGTAGCATGGCATGGATGGACAAGTCATGCCCGGTCCCTTGTGATGGCAACCTGCTCATGTCCGCCATGCTGTTCCCTGCCCTGGCAGTCACAGGTGGTTGCATACAAGACATGGCATGACATGGGGAAGCATGAGCATGGAAGACAGATTTGCATCCACTCGTGTCAAGGGAATGGAGTAGTAGGCGTCGTTAATGCTGGTAGAATTACCAAAACCCTTTTCAAACAGAGTGTGCGAAGAGAGTGGGGCAAGCAGGCACAGCTTCATGCACTCACTCGTGTCGAGCCACACTCACTCATGTCGAGCCACACTCACTCGTGTCGAGTCACACTCACTCGTGTCGAGCCACACTCACTCATGTCGAGCCACACTCACTCGTGTCGAGTCACACTCACTCATGTCGAGCCACACTCACTCGTATCAAGCCACACTCAGTTGTGTCGAGCCATGGCTTGGTCAGCAGAATGGGGTAGTATGCGTTGTCAAAGATGGTGGGATCGCCAAAGCCAGTAACACACATAGTATGCAAAAAGAGAGCGGGGAAAGCAGGCACACAGTTTGCGTCCACTCACTCGTGTCGAGCCACGGCTTGGTCAGTAGAATGGAGTAGTAGGCGTTGTCAAAGCTGGTCGCATCGCCAAAGCCCTTTCCACACAGAGTGTGCAAAGAGAGAGCAGGGCAAACAGGCACAGCTTCATGCACTCACTCGTGTCGAGCCACGGCTTGGTCAGTAGAATGGAGTAGTAGGCGTTGTCAAAGCTGGTGGCATCGCCAAAGCCCTTCCCTCCCAGTGTGTGCGCTCCCAGTAGACACACTGTCTCTTGTAGGCTGGGAGGGGGAAGGGGGCAGAGGGGGGTAATTTTGGTCGACAGAAAGTAGCTTTACCAATATAAAGCCTTTCCCTCCCAGTGTATACGCCCCCTGTAAGGTGATGGGGGGTGGAAGGGTGTTGGGCAGAAAGAGGGGGCGGAAGGGAGGAAGCAAAGGAGTGGGGAGATAGGAATAAGTTATGGTAATTGAAGTTCACGTGAAGCCGCACCTGAAGCGGATTGCATTCAGATTGATTCCAATTCACGCACCTGGAGCCCTCAAGACGCACCTAAAGCCCTCACGACCCACCTGAAGCCCTCAAGACGCACCTGAAGCCCTCACGACCCACCTGAAGCCCTCACAACCCACCTGAAGCCCTCACAACCCACCTGAAACCCACCTGAAGCCCTTGGACTTGAAGCTGGCAACGACCTCCTTGGCGTTCAGCGTCTCTGCTGGCATGCGGTTCTCCGGGTCGGGGCCACTGGGGGTGGAGGCGGCAGGAGAGGGAATAAGAAGCAGACAGAGAGCAGAGAGGAGGAGAGGGTGTAAAGGCAGAGCGAGAATGAGAGAATGAGAGGCCAGCAAAAGACCCTCCTTGGCGTTCAGCGTCTCTGCTGGCATGCGGTTCTCCGGGTCGGGGCCACTGGTGGGGGGCAGGAAGGTGGCAGGAAGGTGGCAGGAAGTTGGCAGGAAGGTGGCAGGAAGGTGGCAGGAAGGTGGCACAACAAGGGAGGGGAGAATGCAAGTGAGAGAGACATCGAGGCCAGCGAAAAACCCAGCTGGCATGCGATTCTCAGAGTCAGGCCAGTGATAAGGCCGTGGGGGGTGGGGGGGGGAAGGAAGGGGAAGTCACGGGTTATCAGAGCTGCGAATGAAGACGAGCTGACTTTTGAGTCGACTCAAAAAGTGTGTGCGAACGAGACGAAGGGTAGGGGCACACAGGACTCTCAGTGTCACTCGGGGTCGGGAGCACTGGGGAGGTGGGGTTGTGCAGAGGAGGGTGACGTGACAGAGGGACACTCAATAGAATCTGTGAGCGAAGAGGCCGTATGGAGGAGTTTGCCCCCGCGGGCAGGGCAGGGGATGACACAGAGCCGTCATTCATGTTTTCTGCTGTCAAGCGACATTCAGCTCACAATCAGCACAAGCCCCAGCTGGGGAGAGGTGGGGTTGTGCGGAGAAGGGGGACGAAAGGCACCCTCGATAGAAGCTGTGAGCAAACGGCAACGCAGTAGATTGAGCTCATGACACAGAGCCTTCATCCATGTTTTCATTCATGATTTATCCTTCATTCATGTTTTCTACTGTCAAGCGATATTCAGCTCAAAGTCAGCTCAGCACTGTTGAAATCACTTTTGACAACTCTCCTGGCCCAAAACCAAACATTCCTTCCTGAATAAATGTCTGCCCCTGCTTTCACCTGCCTCACAGCAGCACAATGCCTCGCCTCCCTCACAGCGGCACCACCCCTCACCTGCCTCACAGCGGCACCACCCCTCACCTGCCTTATCTGCCCTGCCTTCATGTCTCTGCCAAAGCACCCCTCACCTGGCATCCCGCCTGCCCATGCGCACAGCACAGGGATGTGTGGCCGCCACACGACTGCACGGCCCATCCCATGCCCGTACACGTTCACAGACAAACAGTCCTTCTGCTGCCCACTCCTCACCTCGCATCTCGCCTGCCCATGCGCACAGGGATGTGCGGCCCGCCACACGACTCCACTGCGTAAGCCCCCGCCACTGCCATGAGATCGGCCCAGGACACCACTGGGAGGGGATTGGGAAGGGATTGGGAAGGGATTGGGCGGGGAGATTGAGGGGCGCGGAGAGGGAGAGGAAATACAGGTTAGGCAGCCGCCGCACAACTCCACTGCATATGCCCCCGCCACTGCCATGAGATCCGCCCAGGGCACCACTGGGAAGGGGGGGGAGGAAAGGGGAGGGAGGGCGGACGAGTGGCGGGGGAGAGAGAGGGAAGGCACAATCAGTCACACAGGCTGTCGTCTTCATGAGGCGCCATCTTAACAACAGACGGCTCATTTGTCATGTGCTACCATACCATGCCACTACGCCAATGCAATGCATGCATGCGGCACCATCCCTTGCCTTTCTCAGTCCAACTTACCGTTTGCCAAGGGGCCCTCCAGGCATGCCTTCTCGCACACCTGTTTCAAAACAGCGCATGTGCCACGCGCTACCATGCCGCTACCCCAATGCATTGCATGCAAGCGCCACTATCCCTTGCCTGTCTCAATCCGCCTTACCGTTTGCCAGGGGCCCGAGCTCCAGGCGTGCCTTCTCGAGCACCTGGCGGGGGGCAGGGAGGGAGGGATGGATGGACGAGAGAACGCGAATCGGTGAAGGGCTGTGAGAGGAGTCAAGTCAAGTGGGAGATGCCCCTTAGGTGGGTAGTGCCTGGTCGAGCCAAGTACCAGGCGAATCTTCTCGAGCACCTGGCGGGGAGGAGTGTGTTTAGAAGGATAGCTGTGGAAAAGGAGGGGAAACGGGAGGCGGGATGGATAAAAGGAGGGATTGTTTCCAGTGTGAAGGTCTGTGATTGGGGTGAGACCGGCAGCAGTTGAGCGACGAGGGGACGAAGAGTTGAGGAAGAGCAGCAGGAGATGGAAACGCATGTTAGTGATGAATGAGGCTTGGGATGCATTTGAGAGATATACTGCAAGATGATGCGAGGCAGAGTAAGAGGGAGGAGGGAGGAGGGAGGGGGGAGGGAGGAGGGAGGAGTGAGGAGAGGCGGGGGGAGGGAAGAGAGGTGGGGGGAGGGAGGAGGGAGGAAAGGCGGGGGGAGGGAGGAGGGAGGAAAGGCGGGGGGAGGGAGGAGGGAGGAAAGGCGGGGGGAGGGAGGAGGGAGGAGAGGCGGGGGAGGAAATTGCCTTGATGGTTCGCTTGAGCCCATCGTTCTCTGGTCGCTTCAACTCAAAACGCACCGACCCGTTCATCCCCCCTGCAGCGATGATTCGTTCAGTTCAGTGAAGCATGGTGATGCATGGATGACACATGGATGTCCCGCACAAAGCACAGCACAGCACAGCACAGCACAGCACAGCACAGCACAGCACAGCACAGCACAGCACAGCACAGCACAGCACAGCACAGCACAGAACACACAGATGCATGTGATGTTCGCATGCAATCACACACACTCGGATATATGTGTGTTGACTCACACAGCCACGCCCACCCACATGCATCCATACACGCACGCATACAGGTGCGTGCGCGCGCACACACACGCACACGAAAACACTCACGCACACATGCACACACACATGCACACATGCACACACGCACGCACGCACGCACGCACGCACGCACGCACGCACGCACGCACGCACGCACGCACGCACGCACGCACGCACGCACGCACACACACACACACACACACACACACACACACACGAAGAGAAGTTGAGGAAAAACGGCGATCGAATAAAACCAACCAATGCAAGGGGGTGTTTCCCGTGTTTACACAGGCGAGTAATTCTGTTCCACATCAAGGATAGAGGGCAATACGTGATGATCATCATAAGTACCACCTTCAGAGCGCTGGCCAGGTGTCTTGGTTCTGGTTACCACATGCTCGCTGTGTTACCAAGTCATATGAGGTGCTACATGCATGATTGTTGTACCTACGTCGTACGTCATTTTTGTGCCAAGGCTGGTTACATGTGATTGTGCTGAGGCCAAAGCGTTTCAGGTCATGTCAAATGTGTTGGTCGTCAGGTCGTACGTTATGTGTACCAAGGGTTTGTGGTTACATGTGATTATATCGAGGCTAGGGCGTGTAATTGCATATCATCTGTGATTATTCTGAGGTGAGAGCGTTTCATGACGCGTCATCTGTGATTATGCCGAGGCTAGAGCGTTTCATCTCGTGTCACCTGTGTTGCTCGCCAGGTCGTACGTCCCTGCGTCGTGAAACACGATCCTCAGCGCGCCAGGCGCCTTGGCTCTGGTTACCACCTTCGCCACTGCTCGCCGCACTGCTGCCTCCAGCTCAGCAGGGGACAGATCCACGTCAGCAGCATGAGCTGGGCCCACCGGACTGGTTGAGAAGATGACGAACGAACGAGGGCAAGCGAGGGAGAGGGAGAGAGTGTGAGGGAGAGAGGGACAGTGAGAGATAGAGGGAGAGTGAGAGGGGGGGGGGGACGACAGAGAAGAGAGTGGGAGAGAGGGCAGGGTGAGGGCGGGGGGAAAGGGAAAGGGAAGGTGAGGGTGTGGTGGAGGGTATGGGAAGGGAGGCGCGCGGGGAAGCGGTTGGGGTTGATTGCGCGATGGACTGAACCTGGACGACTGACAGCTGGCAAACTTGCGAGCTGACGGCTGACTCTTTAGAAGTACAGGAACTAATCCCAGAAGCGACGGAGCTTCTGACAAGCGACAAGTGCTTTGAGGCCACGGAGAGGGAGGAGCGACGGCACGCCGGATGCATGCTGAGGTACCTAAACGAGGGAAGCGACGGCGACAGGAGCGGTGCGAGAGTTGCCGCGGACAGCGACACGGCGAGCAGCGATCGACGGCTGAGCGCACTCGACGGCGGGCGTTGCGATTCGCTGCTGCTGCTGGGGTCCGCAGCCGCCCGCAGAAGGCGATTCTTTTTAGTCACACCCGCTAGAGGAACAGAAGTTCGCCTGACGGGGAAATCCGCGCCCCCGGAAAGCTGGGCGGAAAGCGCGCCGAGCTCGCGAGCGAGATTTTGCGCGGCGAGGGACGCCATTGGCGGCGCAAGCAGGGGTTGGCGGAAGAAGCGGAGGAGAAGAGCAACGACGAGGGGGAAGAAGCGGGAAGGGAAGAAAGGTGGAGCAGGGAGAAGGGCGAGGGGCGGGCGCAGCAGACTAAAATATGATTCAAGTAGTCAATAGTAAAATGGTACTGATGAGCGGTTCTACGATATCAACGATGGGACTGAGTGACCAGAGCAAACGGTTGCTGAATGTGAATCGATGGCACTGACGTCAGCAGCAATCTTTGCGGTTTAGATCGGTTCATGGGGCTTAAGTGGGTTTGTCTTTTGAACCACAGACGAATCGTACGATTCCTTGGAATCGTACGAGCAGGCGAACGGTCTGTCTGGTGGTCGATTGTGCGGTACGGGTTGACCACCGTACGATTTTCTCAAATTCTTGAAACCTCTCGTACGACAGTGATGTCGTGTCACGACCTCCGTGCGTTTGCGCGGCCGATCAGACGCGATGTGTCAGAAAAAAGTGTACGTGTACGTGTGTACGACGCGGCAAATCCCTGAAAGGGCAACGTATTCGTTGGCGAGGTTGGGTATTATTTGAAGCATGTGTTACAAATAACACTTCCTAAAACATCATACCTCAGCTATAATAGCATTGATACTACAGGTCGTCTTCATCCTCATCAATTTCCTCCTCTTTGGCCTTCCTTTTACCCCCGTAACCCGTGCTCTGTATCCCTACTGCCTTCAATGCATCTCGTAGTCCCTCACATTTCACCACCTCACATCCACTGGGTGCTGCTTGCCCTTTCCATTGCTTCGCCGGCACAACACAGCGAGAAAAGCCAAGCTTCGACACCTCATTCACCCGCCGATCCAGCTGAGACACCTGGCAAAAAACAGAGTACAAGTAGAGCCTGTTAGAAGCCACCCCCCATTTTGTGCACCAAACAACAACAATCTACAGTGAATGAATAACATCGTAGAAACGTATTTTGGGAGTGTACTGTGCATGCTCCAGTGCCCCACGTGGTCAACATCTCACCCCTCTCAACTCCCCGTTGAGCCCAATCTCGCCAATGAGGGCCGTGTCCGATGGCACTGGGCTCTCGTACAGACTGGCGGGGGTGGAAGGTGGGTGGGGGGGTGGGAGGGAGGGACAGGGAGCAGGGAAATGATGGGGGGATGGAGGGATGAAGGCCGCGTCCGCTAGCACTGGGCTCTCGTAAAGACTGGCGGAAGGGGTGTGACAAGGAGCAGAGAGATAATGGGGGGGTGGAGGGAGGGGGAAATGAGATGATGGTGGTTTGGAGGAGGGGACGAATGCGACGATGGGGTTTTGGTGGCATGAAGGCCATGTCTGCTGGCACTGGGCTCTCGTACAGACTGATGGGCGGGCAGTGAGATGATGGGGGTATGAAGAAGACAGGGATGAGATGATAGGGGGAAGCAAAAGGTGAGGAATGGAGGCCGTGTCTGCTGGCACTGGGCTCTCATATAGACTGATGGACGAGCAGAGAGATGATGGGTGGATGGAGGAAGAGAGGGGAAGGATGATGCCAATCGTCGTGGCATGGGAGAAACGCAGAGAGGTTGATAGAAAGAGGTGAGGAGCAGAATGAGCAGCGAGACATGCATGGAAGAAGATGATGCCACGCATGCCATGTCATGCACAGAGGGACAGAGGCACTCAAGTACAAGATGAGAGTATACAAGTAAATTTTGCCAGGCAGTCAAGAGCGCAACACACCTGCTGGCGATGGCGACAGCAATGGCGAGGTCAGCAGCAGGCTCCTTCACCTGCATGCCCCCCACCACGTTCACCACCACATCCTGGCAGGGGAGATGAGGAAACCCACAGGGTGGGGTAACAGGGTAACAGCAATAAGAATAATAGCTCAACAGGGTAATGGGGCAACAGGGTATCAGGTAACAGACAGAGTGTGAGGTTTCTCGAACACAGCAGCAGGCTCCTTTACCTGCCTGGCCCCCACCACGTTCACCACCACGTCCTGGTAGGGGCAACTTTTGAGTCGACTCAAAAGTCACCTCCTTCACCTGCCTGGCCCCCACCACGTTCACCACCACGTCCTGGTAGGGGCAACTTTTGAGTCGACTCAAAAGTCACCTCCTTCACCTGCCTGGCCCCCACCACGTTCACCACCACGTCCTGGCAGGGGCATGGGGCGCGATGTACGCGTGCGTGAGATCACAGTTAATACTGGGTGTGGGGCGCATGGCATGCACACTCACCTTAGAGCCGATGGGCAGGCCCATGTGGTGCATGATCTTGGTGAGGATGGTGAGGCGAGGCGAGAAGGATGGGTAGGGGGGGATATGCGTACTAGCTAGTGCAGGTGCTTGCACACTCACCTTAGAGCCGATGGGCAGGCCCATGTGGCGCATGATCTTGGTGAGAGTGGAGAGGGGAGGGGTAATGGATGGGATGAGTAGGGAACTAGTTGGTGCCCGTGTGAGGGAAAGGAGATGGTTAATTACCCGGGAGGCGATGGGCAGGCCGATGTGGCGCATGATCTTGGTGAGGATGGTGAGGCGATACATGTCGACACCGTTGGCGGTCTTGGTAGGGGGGATGTTGGGAATGGCTTTTACGCATAGCGCCTGGTTGTACCAAGGGGGACGAAAGAGGGAAGGGGGAAAGGCGAGGGGGGACAAGGCATGAGGAGGTGAGAATGGTGAGGCGATACATGTCAACGCCGTTGGCGGTCTTGGTGGGGGGGATGCTGGGGATGGCTTTCACACACAGGGCCTGGTGGCAGAAAGGGGACAGGAGAGAAACAGGGGCACTTGCACAACCCCGAGATCCCTCCCCGTATATCGCTCCCCGATACGGGGGACCCACGGATTCACCCACTTGTAACTCCAGCGGCAGCGGCCTGCCTCCGGCCACGGCTGCACTGCCCTTTGCCACTACTGCGACCTTGATCTCGGCCCCCATAACAGCATCCTTCAACGAAATCACCCACCTGCACTTCCAGCAGCAGCGGTCTGCCCCTCTGCATCACCACGGCCACGGCTGCGCTGCCTTCAGTGCTGCACTCTACCTCCCACAGTTACCGTCACACCACACTAGTAATAGGACCATCCGCCCACCTACCTGCACCACCAACAGTAGCGGCCTGCTCCCATGCATCACCACAGCCACGGCTGCACTGCCTTCACCACCGCATTCACATCCCTCATTGTCACACAATGATACACGCACATCATTGAAGCCACCCACCTGCACCTCCAGCAGCAGCGGCCTGCTCCCGTGCATCACCACAGCCACCGCTGCACTGCCCCGCGTGCGGCTGGCTGGGAGGAAGGCGAGGCTGGGGTTGGGCACTGCCACCATGCCCTGCGCTGCCATCTCGAACACGCCCACCTGGGAGAAAAGGAGGATGAGGGGTTGGGTAAGGGATGTGATGGGAAGAAGAAGGGACTCATGAGTCGACACATCAGTGGGCTAGCGTGGATGGGAGGAAGGCGAGACTGGGGTTGGGCACTGCTACCATGCCGCGCGCCGCCATTTCAAACACACCCACCTAAGGGAGGGGGGGCGGTTGAGGATTGAGAGACGTGGGGAGGAGGGTGATGAAAGGAGAAGAGGGGCAAAGGAAAGGAAGGCGAGGCTGGGGTTGGGCACGGCCACCATGCCGCATGCTGCCATCTCAACACACCCACCTGGTAAAGGGAGAGGAGAAGAGGATGACACGGGGAAAGGGGAGGAAAAGAGGGAACTTTCAACTGTTGACTCAAATGGTGGGGACGGGAGGAATGCGAGGCTGGGGTTGGGCACTGCCATCTTGAACACGCCCACCTGGAATAGCGAGGAGGGGAGCGGAGGAGGCGGGGGGGGGGAGAGGTGGGGGGGGGGGGGGAGAAGACAGTACGGGGTTTGAATCCAATGAAGAAAGTCGGTGTGGGGAAGGAAAATGCGGAGGTTGTTTCAAGGCGGAAAGGAACGGAACGGAACGGAAAGGAACGGAACGGAACGGAACGGAACGGAACGGAACGGAACGGAAAGGAACGGAACGGAACGGAACGGAACGGAACGGAACGGAACGGAACGGAACGGAACGGAACGGAACGGAACGGAACGGAACGGAACGGAACGGAACGGAACGGAACGGAACGGAACGGAACGGAACGGAACGGAACGGAACGGAACGGAACGGAACGGAACGGAACGGAACGGAACGGAACGGAACGGAACGGAACGGAACGGAACGGAACGGAACGGAACGGAACGGAACGGAACGAACGGAACGGAACGGAACGGAACGGAACGGAACGGAACGGAACGGAACGGAACGGAACGAACGGAACGGAACGGAACGGAACGGAACGGAACGGAACGGAACGGAACGGAACGGAACGGAACGGAACGGAACGGAACGGAACGGAACGGAACGGAACGGAACGGAACGGAACGGAACGGAACCGGAACGGAACGGAACGGAAACGGAACGGAACGGAACGGAACGGAACAGGAACGGAACGGAACGGAACGGAACGGAACGGAACGGAACGGAACGGAACGGAACGGAACGGAACGGAACGGAACGGAACGGAACGGAACGGAACGGAACGGAACGGAACGGAACGGAACGGAACGGAACGGAACGGAACGGAACGGAACGGAACGGAACCGAACGGAAAGATACAGAATGGAACGATCGTCCGTTGCCGTGAGATTGGGCGTGAGGAATGCCCTCATGGCCCGCCTCGCACCTCGCACGCCTCATCACAGCCTGCGTGGAGGTGCATGGCCTCAAAGCGCGCTGAGTTTGCTGAAGATTATTCCCTGGGTGTCTACGAGAAGCTGGGATAGGAAACACGTTCAGGTGGGATAGGAAACACGTTCAGGTGGGATAGGAAACACGTTCAGGTGGGATAGGAAACACGTTCAGGTGGGATAGGAAACACGTTCAGGTGGGATAGGAAACACGTTCAGGTGGGATAGGAAACACGTTCAGGTGGGATAGGAAAACACGTTCAGGTGGGATAGGAAACACGTTCAGGTGGGATAGGAAACACGTTCAGGTGGGATGGGTAACACGTTCAGGTGGGATAGGAAACACGTTCAGGTGGGATGGGTAACACGTTCAGGTGGGATAGGAAACACGTTCAGGTGGGATAGGAAACACGTTCAGGTGGGATAGGAAACACATTCAGGTGGGATAGGAAACACGTTCAGGTGGGATAGGAAACACGTTCAGGTGGGATAGGAAACACGTTCAGGTGGGATAGGAAACACGTTCAGGTGGGATGGGTAACACGTTCAGGTGGGATAGGAAACACGTTCAGGTGGGATGGGTAACACGTTCAGGTGGGATAGGAAACACGTTCAGGTGGGATAGGAAACACGTTCAGGTGGGATAGGAAACACGTTCAGGTGGGATAGGAAACACGTTCAGGTGGGATAGGAAACACGTTCAGGTGGGATGGGTAACACGTTCAGGTGGGATAGGAAACACGTTCAGGTGGGATAGGAAACACGTTCAGGTGGGATAGGAAACACATTCAGGTGGGATAGGAAACACGTTCAGGTGGGATAGGAAACACGTTCAGGTGGGATAGGAAACACGTTCAGGTGGGATAGGAAACACATTCAGGTGGGATAGGAAACACGTTCAGGTGGGATAGGAAACACGTTCAGGTGGGATAGGAAACACGTTCAGGTGGGATAGGAAACACGTTCAGGTGGGATAGGAAACACGTTCAGGTGGGATAGGAAACACGTTCAGGTGGGATAGGAAACACGTTCAGGTGGGATAGGAAACACGTTCAGGTGGGATAGGAAACACGTTCAGGTGGGATAGGAAACACGTTCAGGTGGGATAGGAAACACGTTCAGGTGGGATGGGTAACACGTTCAGGTGGGATAGGAAACACGTTCAGGTGGGATGGGTAACACGTTCAGGTGGGATAGGAAACACGTTCAGGTGGGATAGGAAACACGTTCAGGTGGGATAGGAAACACATTCAGGTGGGATAGGAAACACGTTCAGGTGGGATAGGAAACACGTTCAGGTGGGATAGGAAACACGTTCAGGTGGGATAGGAAACACGTTCAGGTGGGATGGGTAACACGTTCAGGTGGGATAGGAAACACGTTCAGGTGGGATGGGTAACACGTTCAGGTGGGATAGGAAACACGTTCAGGTGGGATAGGAAACACGTTCAGGTGGGATAGGAAACACGTTCAGGTGGGATGGGTAACACGTTCAGGTGGGATAGGAAACACGTTCAGGTGGGATAGGAAACACGTTCAGGTGGGATAGGAAACACGTTCAGGTGGGATAGGAAACACGTTCAGGTGGGATGGGTAACACGTTCAGGTGGGATAGGAAACACGTTCAGGTGGGATGGGTAACACGTTCAGGTGGGATAGGAAACACGTTCAGGTGGGATAGGAAACACGTTCAGGTGGGATAGGAAACACATTCAGGTGGGATAGGAAACACGTTCAGGTGGGATAGGAAACACGTTCAGGTGGGATAGGAAACACGTTCAGGTGGGATAGGAAACACATTCAGGTGGGATAGGAAACACGTTCAGGTGGGATAGGAAACACGTTCAGGTGGGATAGGAAACACGTTCAGGTGGGATAGGAAACACGTTCAGGTGGGATGGGTAACACGTTCAGGTGGGATAGGAAACACGTTCAGGTGGGATAGGAAACACGTTCAGGTGGGATAGGAAACACGTTCAGGTGGGATAGGAAACACGTTCAGGTGGGATAGGAAACACGTTCAGGTGGGATAGGAAACACGTTCAGGTGGGATAGGAAACACGTTCAGGTGGGATAGGAAACACGTTCAGGTGGGATAGGAAACACGTTCAGGTGGGATAGGAAACACGTTCAGGTGGGATAGGAAACACGTTCAGGTGGGATAGGAAACACGTTCAGGTGGGATAGGAAACACGTTCAGGTGGGATAGGAAACACGTTCAGGTGGGATGGGAAACACGTTCAGGTGGGATAGGAAACACGTTCAGGTGGGATAGGAAACACGTTCAGGTGGGATAGGAAACACGTTCAGGTGGGATAGGAAACACATTCAGGTGGGATAGGAAACACGTTCAGGTGGGATAGGAAACACGTTCAGGTGGGATAGGAAACACGTTCAGGTGGGATAGGAAACACATTCAGGTGGGATAGGAAACACGTTCAGGTGGGATAGGAAACACGTTCAGGTGGGATAGGAAACACGTTCAGGTGGGATAGGAAACACGTTCAGGTGGGATAGGAAACACGTTCAGGTGGGATAGGAAACACGTTCAGGTGGGATGGGTAACACGTTCAGGTGGGATAGGAAACACGTTCAGGTGGGATAGGAAACACGTTCAGGTGGGATAGGAAACACGTTCAGGTGGGATAGGAAACACGTTCAGGTGGGATAGGAAACACGTTCAGGTGGGATGGGTAACACGTTCAGGTGGGATAGGAAACACGTTCAGGTGGGATAGGAAACACGTTCAGGTGGGATAGGAAACACGTTCAGGTGGGATGGGTAACACGTTCAGGTGGGATAGGAAACACGTTCAGGTGGGATAGGAAACACGTTCAGGTGGGATAGGAAACACGTTCAGGTGGGATAGGAAACACGTTCAGGTGGGATAGGAAACACGTTCAGGTGGGATAGGAAACACGTTCAGGTGGGATAGGAAACACGTTCAGGTGGGATAGGAAACACGTTCAGGTGGGATAGGAAACACGTTCAGGTGGGATAGGAAACACGTTCAGGTGGGATAGGAAACACGTTCAGGTGGGATAGGAAACACGTTCAGGTGGGATGGGTAACACGTTCAGGTGGGATAGGAAACACGTTCAGGTGGGATAGGAAACACGTTCAGGTGGGATAGGAAACACGTTCAGGTGGGATAGGAAACACGTTCAGGTGGGATAGGAAACACGTTCAGGTGGGATAGGAAACACGTTCAGGTGGGATAGGAAACACGTTCAGGTGGGATAGGAAACACGTTCAGGTGGGATGGGTAACACGTTCAGGTGGGATAGGAAACACGTTCAGGTGGGATAGGAAACACGTTCAGGTGGGATGGGTAACACGTTCAGGTGGGATAGGAAACACATTCAGGTGGGATAGGAAACACATTCAGGTGGGATAGGAAACACGTTCAGGTGGGATAGGAAACACGTTCAGGTGGGATAGGAAACACATTCAGGTGGGATGGGTAACACGTTCAGGTGGGATAGGAAACACGTTCAGGTGGGATAGGAAACACGTTCAGGTGGGATAGGAAACACGTTCAGGTGGGATGGGTAACACGTTCAGGTGGGATAGGAAACACGTTCAGGTGGGATAGGAAACACGTTCAGGTGGGATAGGAAACACGTTCAGGTGGGATAGGAAACACG